AATTAGTGTCTATAAAATGACATAATATAAACTTCAGTGATGATTCTAGTGCCACATCTTATAAATAACTCATTAAAAACTAAGGAATATATACAAAATAGCTTTTGACTCGAAAATAATTAACAAACTAGCTATGAGCTACAGAAACATGGAGCAAATGACATCTTTAACCTTTATTCATTCTATTTTTCTTTCGCTTATCTTTTTCTCCCCACCATTGTTAAACCTCAAACTTAAACTTCTTCATCATCAACATCACTCTCAACTTCACCACCGCCACCACAATCCTTGTTTCTTCTGACATTGCAACGGATCTTTCTAGAAAAATTCACTAATTTTTTAGGTTGTTTATAATTCTCAATTTTCTTCCATCTCTTTTGATCTCACGCGCACATGTCTCCTTCCACCGTCGCATATCTCATTCGCTTCCATATCCTCTTACTTCTCTCTGCTTTTAATATTCTCTATAGCCCATCGTCATATGTTCTACAATTACAACACGAATCATTTGACCCATACAACGGTTTTTAGATCCAAATATGTATTGAAAGTACAAGTAGTGTTTTTGAAAATTATGCTATTAAAAGAAATATCTATATATTTATCAATATTTCATGGTATTCAAAAGAATCACATGTATTTTTACTTAATTACATGTAATCTTCATGTTATTAAACATAATACATATATTTTTCTTCTAGATACATGTATATTTACTTAAACCGTGCTATTTTAAAAAATTTCATGTTTTTTTTCCTTGATCTACCATCAGAGGATTTATCTTGTCCATCATCACCTCCTCTGTAACTACCATCATCGTTAATCTGTATTGAAAAATGCAAATAGTACTTTTAAAAACCATGCTATTAAAACAAATATATATATTTATCAATATTTCATGATATTCAAAAGAATCACATGTATTTTTACTTCAATACATGTAATTTTCATGTTATTAAACATAATACATATATTTTTCTTTTAGATACGTGTTCTGTTTACTTAAACCGTGCTATTTTAAAAAAATTCATGTTTTTTTCTCCTCCATCCACATTCATTATGGTGACCAAGACCACCGTACCGCTTCCATGACCGGATCTATTTTTTTCTCACCGAATCTCTACCACCACTTACAAACAAATATATCATTTCGTAGTAACTATACTTTCAAAAGATTAACTGGTATTTTCCCCATCATTTCGTAATAACTACAAAAGAGTCATTTACCTAACATTTCTAACACATGGTTAGTTACTTAGTTTCTTTTCAAAATTTGGCTATTTTCTAATAATACCCTAAAAACTAACTGAAACTGCATTAATAAGTTTAAATAATGAATTTATTAATCAAAAAAATAAATGTTATTTACAAAGTAGTATAGTAACGCTCCGACCGCCACACCTCTCTTAATGGGCCCCACGTCCTCTCTCGGCCCATGGGCTCACCCGTGTCTGACGGCCGGTCCGCTACGTCCGGGAGGCTTTAAAGACTTGTTTACCGACACTACAAATCACCACATGATCTTTCCCTGTGTTCTTTCCTCACTCACACAGTTCCGACAATCACTTCCCGGAATGTCACCTATCCTGAAATTGTTCCAGGTCAAGCACGCTTAACTGTGGAGTTCTCTCAGGACAGTTGACCGAAAAGATAAGTGCACTTTGGTGACATAAGTGGCCAATTCAATTATTTTAAAACTCTCCGCATGCACCACCATATTCCTGAAACCGGGATGTTACAAGTAACCCCCACTAACAGATCGCAACGTCCTCGTTGCGCACCAAGACCGTCAGCCCGATAGTGTGAGCCCTCTTGACTCCACACTCGCCTGGGTTCGGCTTTGATACCACTTGTAACGCCCCGACCGCCACACCTCTCTTAATGGGCCCCACGTTTTTTCTCGGCCCGTGGGCTCACCCGTGTCTAACGGCCGGTCCGCTACGTCCGGGAGGCTTTAAAGACTTGTTTACCGACCTTATAAATCACCACATGATCTTTCCTTGTGTTTTGTCCTCACTCACACAGTTCCAACAATCACTTCCCGGAAGGTCACCCATCCTGAAATTGCTCTAGCTCAAGTACGCTTAACTGTGGAGTTCTCTCAGGACAGTTGACCGAAAAGATAAGTGCACTTTGGTGACATAGGTGGCCAAATCAATTCTTTTAAACCTCTCCGCATGCACCACCATATTCTTGAAACAGGGGCGTTACAAGTATACAAGAAAAGAAATGAAGAAGGCAAAACGAGAGTGCATAAAACAAAACAAAAAATGAAGAATTAAAAGAGATTGCAAAAACCGTAAGAATGAATGTGTGTATTCGCTAACGAACTCCACCAGTTTGGAACCATCATTACAAAAAATTCTGAAGTTATAGTGAATCTTAATAGCTGAAGGAAACTACTATGTTTACAATGGATTTCTCTAAGAGACATATTAAGTGAACCGTTAGGTGATATGTGCGCTTCATAACAGGACTTTGTTACAAGAAGGTTATGTATGCGTATCTTTCAAGGAAGAATTTAATACCTAGATACATGTAAGAGACATTGTAAATGGTTTCCAAGTCTATAATACGTCGGAAAGATTACCTTGTGCACGCATTTTAAAATATGAAAAGTTTCTATTAACACAGTGAATTTTGTATAATTACAGATGTGAAGCCAAATAGTCGATTTTAAAAATAACAAACATATGCGTATTTCATAAAAAAAAAAAAAGACACATGCCAAGTATACTATTGCATCATCAACAGAGCCGGCTCAAATTTTTTTTGACCTTGTTTTCATTTTAAAAAAATCTGAAAATTATTCTTATTATAAAAATTTAGAGTTTTATTTGCAAAATTTCTAAAATATAGGGCGTTAAAACCTTTTAAAAAAAATTGTGGGATCCAGTGCTTGAGCACTCTTAGCACTACCCCTAAGTCAAGCTTCATCGTCAGCTATACGAAATAGATGTATTGCATGACCACATATATGAACTATAAGACGTCATGTGGTTAACACCATAGACATACGATTCTAGTACACCGATCGACTGACTCCGGCGTTGACCGGTATTAACCAACAAAAATATAAAAAAGAAAAAGCTTGTATTTATTTTTAATATTAAAAACAAAAATAGTTTTATTTGGTATTGTTGATGCGTGTTTTATTTCGCCTCAAAGTTTTCCTTTAGAGACTACACGAAATACTGCAAATGCATAGTTAATCGGATGTACGTAGTCTTTAAGGATAATCCCACATAGACTTATAAGTACAATACAAATTCAATAGAGAAGGAATATGTCTAAGACAAACAAAAGGGGGTTTGGTTTTGGGGTTTTCTAACTAACGAAATAAGAAAATAAAAGCATTGCAAACGATTAGAAGATATCAATAAACGAGAAGTTGGGCTTCAGAGATTTCTCAGGGTATCATGGATCGGATTATTCTATGGTTTTAAACAAAGGTAAACCTATGCTTTTAAACAGTTCATGAACTACGAAACACTTATGTGAAACCGTTTGGCTTATGACCAAATGACTATCTAAGTTTAACAATTCTGTTACTAAACTAACGCATGCAACGACGAGATTAGACCAGCATGATTAACGAGTTCGATTATAGTTCATAAAGCTTTATAACTCAACTATCGCATGTTATAACACGATACTCACATCTACGCTAGTGAATGCGGATTTATACACTTGCGATGCATAAAACCACCTAAGATCAATATTGCAAGTTAATTACTCAAGCAATATGCATTAACAACAAACCTAGAACGGAGAACAAGATGACCTAAATATAGATCTAAGAAACCCTAGAAAACAGATCCATGAATCCCCTTTGAAACCCTTATACCCAACGAATAAACTACTCATACATTCTCAAAGAACACAACATCATATGAATAAGAGATTGCATAAAAAAGTATTAATATAGAAAAAAGGATTAGAAATCTTCTCTGGAAATACAGAGTTGAGGATTCTTCTTCCTTAAACAAGTAGAGAACAGAGAATAGAGATGAAGAGAAAGGTTGGTGATCGACGATGGTGGCTTCAGAGGAGATCGGCGGTGAGACAAAGCTTCTACATTAAGAGGCTGTGAAGGAGGCTACGTGGCTTCTCTCTGTGAGGCTGCTGGTGATAGGGTCGAAGACACACCCTAATTAGGGTTCAGAACTTGTATTTATAGACCTCGGGAAGTAACAAGTCGGTTTAGGGTTTTATCGGCAAAACTACGTAGTTTCAATAAGTTCGGGGACGAGATGGCCAATTCCGGTCATGAGGGTCTATGACCTTGCTCAACAAGAGGCTCCAGACCGGTCACGTGGGGTTGTGACCAGTCCAAAAAAGGGCTTCACCAATTGTCACACTCCTTGTGACCGGTCTCGGACATGGTTCCTTCAATCGGTTGTAACTTCTGTTTGGCAGCTGGGATTGAGTTGAT